TAAGAATATAATAAAATATAAGAAAAAGAAAAGAAAATAGAAAAATATTAAAATTCGATGAAATTTTGGGTACTACAGTATATTGATATATATTTTATTTATTTTTTTGCTTTCGCTTATTCTGCACTTCTTTTGCACAATCTCCTTTTAATTTTTCAACTTTCTTTACTAATTCATCTGAAGGCTTTGGACAAAGTATATCTTGAAATTCAGTTGGACAGTATGGGTGAATTTTGTTTCAAAGATCTACTTGTTTTTCTTCTGAAAGGCCTTTTGACAAACATAGATTTATTAGATTAATATTGGTTTTTAATAACTAAAATTCATCCTACTGGTCTGTTACTCTTATTTTAGTTCTCATTAATCCAAAATTTTCATAAGTAAACTGAAAGAGTTGATATTTTTGAATTGCAGAAGGCTTCTGATACAATATACTAAGTGCTGAAGTCCAATTACAAAAGAGGTTGGGTTTTTCTTCTAAATTTATAGAAATATTATTACTTGCACTTCTATCTATTACTTCAACAAGATGATTAATACACCAAGCTTCAGATTTTGCATACTCTGACTTAGTATGGCCAAATCCACAATTAACGAATTTCTTGTATAGCCTTTAATTTAAAATTGCTAATCAATTTTTTGAAATTTTTTAGTATTACACATCCAAAGAAGATACCAAAGAAGACACAAATTTTTATTTTGGCCACCACAATTGTCTGCCCATAGTTTAATTTCTTTTATATCATCTGTTACAGAAATAAGAAAGTGATGCAACATTGAAGTAACTTCATTTGGTCTTTTTGATGCTTTACTCTCAGCATTAATTGCATGCTAATACTTATCAATACCTTTGTCTACCATGCTAAATTGATGCACCTTTAATAATGACAAATAATACCATGTATCAGGCTGTTGAGGATTATGAGGTAATTCCATAATTAGCAAAATCGAATAAAAAAACACAAAGAGAAGATGATCACAACTTTTTGCTTTTTGTATATCATTTTTATAAACCTTTCTCATTTCTCAATAATCTGATATATGTGTTATTAATTGCTTATCAAGATCTTCATTTACAAGATTACTACTCTT